AAGATTGAGAGCTAGTGCAAATTAGTTACCGTCCGTTACTGCAAATTAGTTATCTGTTTGTGTAGATACCTAGATCCAATAAACAACTAATATAATTTATTCTCTAACTAAGCTGAGTCTCAGTTTACCTAGACCCAACGAATGTGATTAAATCGAATCCTTCTATAGAGCTTATGAGGCATTACTAAATAAATTTTAATGGTCTTATATGTCACTTTTACTACCTTTTAGATCTAATCTACACTTTTTATACATTATTTATAAAGTTAAATAGTTAAACTAGCAATATCATGAATGAGAAAGACAAACACGCTGTGATTCTTAAAAAAGGTACCGACTATACGTATTGCAAAATAAAAGCAATTCATTAGAGCTTTACAAACCACGACTTATTAAATAAATTGTTGTAATTATTAGAAAATATATGTGGGAAGATATATCATATAACGAATTTTAATACCTAAGTTACTGCAAACCATGATATACAATTAAAATAAATAATGTATTATTACATTAAATAAAATACAGTCAAACTTTCATAAATCGAACTTCTATAACTCGAAATTCTCTATAACTCGAACCAAAAACATTGTACCAAGGTTTTAGAGAGCAAATTACATACAATTTTGCTTCCATAACTTGATCTTCTATGACTCAAATTTCTCTATATAAGTATATATATAAGTCAAATTTTTGTTTTAAGTGTAAATGCATTTTACTGTTAGGGTAAGTCCCTTTCTCAAATCAAATATTTAATTTTATCTTTCTTATGTTACTTCTTCTTGACGATTATATTAAGCGTGACAATAAAGTTTGTATATCTAGCTTTCTTACAGATAACGATATTATTGAGCACTATAACTCTAAATTACTGGATCCAATTCTAAGGGAAACGGAAAGTAATGATGAGGGTTCCGTGAATTCAATTGTTTATCAGCTTTCCACGAATAAAGTAGAAGACTCATTCAAAATTCTGAATTTATATTTGCAAACGACTGATACTACAATTGATGATCACTATAAGAGTATGAATAAAGTGAAATCTATTTTTACTGAAAATAAGAAAAAAATTAAAGTTCCAAACCCTAATTTCTGAAGATTTTACTTCACTGTAAGTTCTGTGCTTTATTTGAGTATTTGAGGAGTGACACTAACCACTCCTCAGCATTGTACTTCAATCCAAATAATATCATTTCATAAAATTTTTTAAATTTATTTTTAAAGAAAGTTATTTAATTAATTAAAAGAAAATTTATAAAGGAATATGTTTTATCATACGTAGAATATTTCCTTAGAATGCTGGTTTCATTAACATCAGTGTAGAAAAATTGTTCAGAGACTATTTGAGGTAAAGTGTTGACACTTTTGAGTAAAAACAGAAATCCAAAATCTCAACAAAAAATATTATAATTCCAGTATCTCGTGTTAACATGAACATTAATTTAGCAGTATACCTTCAGATATACCTTCATATTACAGACTTTGAAGGTATAATATACCTACAAACTGGCGACAGCGAGTCACTGATCGGGTTGACTGGCCTAGGGTACTCAACGAGGCCAAGGACGTCTCACGTCTGTAAGAAGAAGAAGATAAATCGTTTAGATATTTTTAGAAAGGCACATCCAAAGTGAAGAAATTACTAATATTGCAGAAAATCAAAAGTTTAATAGTCATTTACTAATTACTTCTGTTGATTGATTATAAAAGGTAAAAAAAAATAAAAGAATCTAAATTTTTTTGGGTTTTAATGACAGCCTGTTTTACAAAAATATTTAGCTCACTTAGCCCATTAGTGTGGGTCCGTCGTGATATAACTTCAATTTTAAATAAAAACAAATGAATACTTTTTACTTAATCCAATATGTAGCGGACTATTGTTCTAAAATTTAGGGCCTATAGTGTGAATTATTTTTTGTAGTTCTTCTATGGCTTGTTGCTAACGAGGATAGGTAGATATATATACATAGTTGTAGCTATATTGTTCCAATTCTGAAACTACAACAATTTTCAGTGCCATCGTTCGGTTAAGTTCTTTCAGTAAATGTTTGAAATAAGTATTTTTATTAAAAGCAAAACTTTTTTATTCAATGAAATTTTTTTTTGCTTATAACTAAATATAACTATGGTATGTAAAATTGCCTAATGAAATGTTCAATTGAGAAGAAAATTAGAAAATTTTAAGAATTTTTGAATCATAAAATGTAATTTTTTCTGAAAAACAAACAATTTATAACTTTGATAATCGTATCTCTTTGTTCTCCATGCACACATGCAGTAGCAGGTAGAACTATTGATGAGCGCGATAAGTCCAACACAAACCGTAAATTCTGCAAAACAACGGCTGTGTACCTAAATCCATTAGGTCACGGTGCCTATCCGGCGATTGATTATTTTCGATTCACGGATTTGTTTACACCCTTGTAAGTATGTGTGTGTGTGTGTGTATTTATGATAAGTGAAGCAAGCCTTATATGCTTTTATTTAATGTTAGTTTCAAAAAATTTCTATATATAAGAAGGGCATTTCACAGATCTCAGCATCAGTTGCAGTTGACAAGTGAATAGTAGTGGATCAGTGAGATTTGAAGATTCAGTGAGTTGAAAGTGAAATCAAAACTTGTGGTGGTATATGATGCGAATTTGTTTGCATTAAGTAGTAAAGAAGTAGGCAATTTACTTAATTTAAAAATTGCCTCTTGTTAACTACTTTATATAAATTAATTCCAGACAACGAAATGAAGTTAAAGGATTTTTCATTCTGTGATTTGTGCATGAAACTATTATTTATTTTGACGAAAAATTATTTGTGTTATAAAAAATACGAAAAATAGTACTATTAAGTAGGCGATTCGTAGGCGATTGAGTTCAAAAAGTCGCCCACAATAACCTGCTTACTAGCATATTTTTCCATTCAACATTAACTATAATGTATATGACAATTATCAACTTAGTGGACATTGGAGCTGTTTATATTACGAATAGTCTCAAACTAAAAAAATTGATGGATAAAAAATTTGGTTATATCTGATTGTATAATAGGTAAGTGAACGTTTTGTGTTAGATTTATAAGAGTGACGGTACTGAAATACAAAAAATTTTATTGCTTAATAAGATAACGTCAAATTTAACAATTAAGAATTTGAATTCATTTTCATTAAGGTTTTATCAACGTTTCACTACAACTTCTGTTCTATATTTCCCATAGGATAGCTCCTTTCACTTATCCACCAATCGTTCTCCTTCAGATTGTATCAGGATCGTCAGTCCTGTTACTTGCCTTATCACTATTTCGCACACAGTATTTTCGTTGGAGCTGTGGAAATTATGATAGATTGCTCGTAACACAGTTTACGTCTCCAGCTACTTGTCCAATCTACTTGCGGATTTCATCCTTAGTATTTAGCGCAGTATATTTTCGTTATTTCGAAATGAATTCTTTAATTAAGACACTACAAAAACCAAGCATATATTTCACAATTTTACATAGTTCAAGTTTTCAGTTTAATCTTTATACCATAAAATATTCTCATTTCTCTAGATGAGCTTTTAATTAAAAAGAGATCAAATTAAAGAAATTTAAATGTTGCAATTCGTTACTATAGTGCAAAGATAGGTAGATAAGCTGTAATCCAAAAGTCATAAGATTTCTTGATTTTCTCGCATATAAACTTTTACTATATATTTTTTTTTTCCAAAGTGAAACCTCCCATAGATATGTACTTGATCTCATATTTTGTTGAGTATATTATTCTTTGGGTATATTTTCAAGTTTGAGGAATAGAAAAAAATTCTCAGAATGCTGTATCTGGAGATAAGGTGGTTACATCATAACGAAAATATTATGATTTGTTAAGTACTGCTTCCATTCTAGTTATTATCTCATTCAAACTATCTCATTCAAACTATATTTGCTTCGCTGTACTATTTAAATTTTACAGATCTATCTTTCTGATTCTTCACAACTGAATAAATTAGATATCGGATAGTAAAAAGACTATATACCTGTAACTGATTTGTTGTGATAAGCTGATCTCACTATCTTCAATGACTCGAACGTTAGTAGTTTACTAAAAATCATTTTTGAAACAAAAACATTTTTATTTTTTTAATATCACTTGTCCGAATAAATTCATTAACATTGGCATCCAATTTAAAAAATATCAGGAACAAGTACTATTTTATTTACTTAAAATATGTTTAATTTATAAATGAAATTAATTTATTTTTAAAAGCGAAAAATAAAAATATTTATCATATAACATGCAGTCATCCTTTAATTTCACTAATTGCAGTTACGATCCCAACTTCTTGAAGTCATTAACTTTTCGATGTCATGAAATTGTGAAACAATTCTACTTCATTCCTCCAGTGAGTTTACCAGTGAATTAAATCAGACAAAACACGCAATGAATGTTTTGCTGGAATTTAAGTGAATCCTTGATGAAGAATTTTAGAGCTACTGAGATTTGCAAAGCGTTTTTGAAAACGCTTAAACCACGATTTTGAATTCACAGAAAGTCTCTCTAATAATATCAGGTATTTGAATAAAAGTTGCATTATTAAATATAAATCTATTATTACTATTATATGGAGTCTTCATGCAAATATTAAAAATTGAATTTCATTTATAAGAATTGTATTTATGGTAACTTTTGTTACTCATTCATACATATTTATTCAGTAGTTTTCAACAGGAATTAAAAGCGTTAAAAGCGAAAATGTCATCATCAAAGTTAGTTGAATGTCAAAGGTGAAGCATAAGCTCAATTACTTAATGCTTAACCTATCAAATACAAATAATTTGGTGATTCATAATAAAAGATTAATATTCGAAAATGAATACTAGTATTTTATGAATTTATGTATAAATAAATGTCACTTGAACTTTGTAAGAAACTAGATCGGAGGTGAATCCCAAATATTTCTTTTTAATACTGATATAGATTGATATCTCTCTAATGTTCAAGTGATAACAAAATATTTTTACACAAACACAAACTATTTAGGATGGAACCATCGAGAGCATCCGGGTTTATCATCGTCAATGGTGCCATCTGATTCATTTGCATTTGCATACTCATCAACAATATGATGAAGTATATGTTTCACACCATCTGCCTCCAAATCGGTGACTCCAGAACGCAATTTAAGCTTTATTAAATCCAGTATAACTTCAAATAATTTTTTCTCTGCGAGGTCTTCATTCACGCCAATTTGCGGAGCAACTACTTTATGAAAATTCCACTCATACACTAAATTAGTAATATATTCATTATCTTAAAGCATAAATGATTAGATTAATATATCAACTTACCTTCTGGATTACTTTGACTATGAAGGCTGTGGGGTGAAGCAACAACCTTCGAGTTATAGCTATGGTTAACACTTGAAGCACTTTTTTTAAATTTCGACAAATTATTAATTATTTCATGAATTTTATAAGCAATGAGAACTTCGTTCAGAGCAGCAGGAAGTTTTCTCTCATATGATGTTGAATGAGATTCGCGGGAAGAGTGATCTGCATTTGCATCATAAGAACTTATTATTTGTGTTTGTGCATAACCAACCGGAAGCAGTGTGTTATCTGTGAAGAATAATATTGTGATATCTGTACAACATGATTTTAGTGATAAATTGAGTTCCACTTACATTTTGGTGCAACTCTTCCCCCATTTAATAAATGATGAAGATCATTTGACGACGCATATCTCTCAGGTTCTCGCTGAGGAGCCGAAATACGAATACTTTCCTTTTCAACTAAGGAAGCTATCTTTAATGATGTTGATATCTAATAAAATTAAGCCAACTTACAATTTGGAGATAGTTTTCTTTTCTTCTTAGGGACGTACGTATAGCCATCTGAGTCAGCACAGCGCTTATGATTTTTCCCGGGATTCATTATATTTTCCGGAAAATAATTTATTGTTGTTACAAGTTTTACTGTAATATTTGATAAGCTGCTCTATTAGATTCACGCTTACGAGCCTAACAATTTTTTCTCGATATCTAAATTTAAAATAATTTTAACTGACATTTGTGTTTAAACAAAAAATTTTTGTAAAAAAATAAATAGATGGCTTAATAAATTATGGCTTTTTAAATCATTTTTGAAATCAATAAAATCCAGCTTTTTCGGAACAGCTAACATTAGTTTAACCTCAGGGTACAGTACATTATACTTTCTTTTCGATGTCCTGGATATCGAAAGCGTTTTTAAATGACCTGTGATCCCATTTTACCATAGTTTTTTATTTTTTGAGATTACAAAAATTTTGTATTTAACCCATATCTGCATATCAGCATATAAAAAAAAATAATTATTCCCTTATTCAATTTTATTGTGAAATTTTCAAAACAATGAGTGCACAGTGGAATGTGACCCATTCACATAAATATTTATGGAGGTGGTTTACGCCAAAGCTTACATCGTCTTTGATTGCCTACTATGTGTATAATGAAATGGTGACATCTGATTCGGGAAATATTTTTAAGTTGCTTTTCCTTGGAAACTCACATTGAGGGAAGGTCACAATATGATATCAATATAGTCATTTTTAGCAGCATTATCATGTAGACCAACTTCTCCCATTCTTTTGTTGTAGTTTTTTTATCAGCTTTGGTTGGAAGTAATTAATAAATCTGCCATTTTCTTAGCTGCAACAGTCGGACAATCTAATTGAAATAAGTTGTGACTTTGACTTTGAGATTATCTTGCCAGCGATAACTAAGAACTTTGTTTGTGCTATTAAATTTAAAATACTATTTGACCTATGCCAATTGTCTTTCGATTTTTAGTTCTGCACCGCCTATTCTATTTGCTCTGACGATTCCTCTTGCAGATATTCCTTCTTTAGACAGAAGATAGATTAGGTGGAACGATGTGAAAAAATGATAGAAGTAGACTTTATGCTGATTTGAAGACTTAACGTTTCCTACTAATCACAATACAACATCGGCTCCCAGACCAATTTTCGATCCGGCGTATGGAACGCAACTATAATCAATCAGTTGCCGAACAAAGATACCACAACTTATAACCAAAACGGATTAGATTTCACGTATAAATATTTTGCATGAATGACGATTTTAGTAGCCTCATTATTGAATAGAGATATATGTTTTTTTTAAGAGTTTCAATGCTTTATATCTAATATATTTTTTAACTTCTGAAACTCTCAAGTCTTTATAAAGATCTATTTTTTCAATGTACTACTTTTCTCAATGCTATTTTTTGACAGCTTATTGATAAAAAGCTTATTAAAGCTATAGTCGTATAAATTGCCTCTTCATATAACACAAATGTTTATAACAGACTTGAAAGTTTTGCACAGTTGTGATGACTTAGTATTAAAACTAAGTTGTCTGAATTTTAATTGTGGGTTTTTCCTCCTTACAATGTAAGTTTCATAAAAAAAAAGATGTTAAAGCAAGGTATTTAACAGAACTACTCCATTCAATGTAGTTGTCTACATCTACAGCTAAAGCCTTCTTGGGTTTAAATGGTGTGTAATGAAGACTTAGATTTCTCTAGACTTAATCTAGAAAAATTTCCAACAGATCTTCCTTAAAACATATCTTTGTAGCATTAAAATATCAGTACCACATTTGGACCAAGTGAGGAAATTTTTTTTTGGCCAATTATTTATGGGTCAATAGAGAAAAAGCCAAACAAAATAAAAACTATAAAAGTATTGTTTCCTATTTATTGTGAATGTTTTAGAGGTTAAATTAATTATTGCGCTAAACATCTATGTATAAAAAATGGTGACGATATTTGTTTAATCTGGCTTTCTCAAATAAATAGAATCTCACTATAATTTATCCATTGAATGTATAATTATTCTAAACTTCAGCAAAGTCAGCTGTCCGTTTGTCGCGGCTTTCGCGGCGTGCTTTGGTGCGTGCCTTAGAGGTTGCAATATTCTTTCTATTGCGATTGAATTTGCTATGCTTTTGTTTGACTAATTCTGCAGTGTCAGTGACTTTGTCACCTATTAGAAAAACACTTCGAAAAAAATTATTGGACGATAGATGTGTATTCATTCCACCTCCCATCAATCCACAAAGCACAGCATAGAGATGATGCGCTCTCCAGGTATCCAATACAAGAGTTTCGTTTCCAAAACGAATATCAACTTTAGGTGTAACATCTTCCTCTATATAAAGTAACATATTTCTAAATGCCAAGTGTTGAGTCTTGCGTTTACGTTTAGAGTGGTGTTTATGAGAATCTTTGGCCAACTTTTTGAAATCGTCTATAAGATCTGCAAGATATTCCAACAAAAATGTTTTCTCATTCAACCGTCCACATTCTACAATTATTACTAAAGCTTGTCCAGCTGCAATACGCACTTTCAAATGAGGTGACTTTAACAAACCCTTAAGATTATCCAGAGAAGGAAACAGTAATCGACCATCAGTCATCCATAATAGGATAAATCTGCTAGGCAAAAGTGAGAAAATTAGTGCCCAAGATAAAAGAGCTGCAGCATGAAGATCTCCTGCTTCAGCGCTTACTGCGTTTGGTTTTTTGTTCTCGCCTGACAAGTAACTATCAGTGAAAATGGTTTCATAAAGCTTCATCAAATTAAGAAACTCTTCGTTATCTGCGGCACTCAGATAATAAAGTAATCCCAAAGCACTGCAATACTCAGCGCGTGTTGCAAGGGAAACTGATTTATCTTTGACACCAGTCCAAATGATTGGGCTTAAGGCATTTAATACGGTATCTTCTCCATTTAGTTGCAGTGCAAGCAACGGTGCAAGTCTTGCACTGAATATTTGCTCTGAGCGATTACCATGACGCAATGATTTCTCTGCGCAATCAATAAGCGTCATCTTCCACTCTTGAACAGCATCGGGAACAAAGTAATATATAAGTGTATCACAAATTCTTTTCAGACCCGCTACTCGAGTTTGTGCAGATTTTGCACTTGCATTTTCAATCTCTTTCGCGAACTCCTCTTCAAAGCTTTCGTCAGGAGAATTGGTTCCTGAAGTTTCGCTATCTTCGTCTGATGAAGACTCATCGCTATCCTCTTCGCCATCGGTTGAAGCAGTTTCTTCGGAACTACTCACTGATAATGTAGTATTTTCTGATTCAGTTGTATGTGCACAAGTGTCATCATTGGTAGAACTCTCCTCAGAATCTGTAGCAGCAGAACTATGCGGTGTTTTCTTCTTATTGGGGCGCACCATAATTCCGTTTTCAGCTATTTTTCACTTTAATCCTATAATCTTATAGTAAGAAAGGCTTCAGGTTTGAATTTAAATTTTGTCGTCTTCGATTCAATTTGCACGTTGATTAATCATGACTGAATGGCCACATTTACATTGTTTAATGCAAAAACAGACGTCTACCTTATGTTCATGCTCAGCCAAATAACTTCCAAATGTAGAGCCAAATGTAGTTGCGCTTGAAAAAGAGAGACTAATTTCTACTTCCAATTTTGAATTTAATGTTTTAGGTGTGTTATCTGAATATTGATTGCCGGTTCCTTGGGTGAACTATTTGAAAAGAAAATTTGTACTGATCAATTGCTGACCAAAAAAAAATATAACAATTTCTTTAATTGAAATTTAAATCAAAGAAACTGTTTTCATTTCATTTAATATTGTTCTTTTACAATGTAAATGTCAGTACTCTACATTTTTAACGACACTTTAATTTCTATTTGATTTTTTAGAAAGTTCTATAGTCTTTTTCCATGTTCGTGAACATGCTCGTAATATTCATTGTACATTCGTCGAATCCGATTTATTCATGAGTTCTACCAATCTTAACGTTTTTTATTCTGTTACTAGCATAGCTTGTTTAGATTTAATTTCATTAAGTTGAGACTAGTTGAGTCAGTGCACTTCAGCATTTTTGCTCTCCATCAACTGCGAGGTTTCTTCTTAATCTTTCTCTACGCCTTGACTGGATTATTATTTATCACTTCATCAGAATAAACAATAACTTACCTCGGATCTGTATACCTCCCCGAGGACCCTGTAATCATTCTAAGATTCGATAATGCCTGCCAATTTTAGTAAATAGTTTCAAGGCTCTATCCTTTATGAATTTTTTGATGAGATCAATCTTGAAGTCTCTGAGGATGTCATTCGTTCTAATGTACTCAGAGAGATGTACTCAGGACATACTCCAATAATATAATATATATTTTCTATTCCATATGCCAATTGTTTTCCAATTGTTTTCGTAATAAAAACTATGCATCTATTACAAAAATATTGTAGCTGTGGATCCATATCATGAGATCCTAGCACTTTAGCATTCGCGACAGAGGAATCGTGTTCACTCCGTTTGTATAACGCTATAATATTATTGTGTAATAATTAAAGATCCATATATCGAATCCATAAATCTAAACACATATTTTCCCAATCTTTGGTACAATATATGTCTTGTCAATTGTATAGTAAGTTCAGGTAGTATTCGAGCCAGCGCTGTGGAGGAGTGATTAAGAATTTTTCTTATAGAGACAAAATGTGTTTATACTGTGTCTACAAACTGCATTGATTAACCCGTACTTAAGTAGAGCATATAGTTTAGGGTGTTAGAGAGTAGAAATATAATTTTTTTATAAAAAATCTAGAATTTTTCCACATGATAATAGTGTTTGTAATCCCAAACTTGGGCACCATAGAGTAAAATTCAACGTGCTAACGTGTAGAACATTTTTTATATATTTGTTAAAGTTCTCTTAGGATTAGAAAAGTACTTTGCTCACGTTGAGTTAATTGAACTTTTACGTAACGAACGTTTAGATGTCAAATGTTTATTGTAAGAGAGATTATACGTTATTAATATTCCGAGGTATTTATATTCATTGACAATTTCTATCTGACTTTCTCTGAACTTTCACGGCAACAAATTTTTTATTCTATTTTAAAAATCATGAGCTTAGATTTATCTAGATTCGCGACAAGGCCCCATGTGGAACAATACCTAAACATATCTCCATTATAATTTGCAATACATTAGGTGAGATTTTAATATTTAGACAAAAGGGACTATCGTCACAAAGACAGTCAGATATTAGCATACGCAGATGACATCAACATTTTTGTTAAATCTAATTTAACTGTAAAAAAATCCTTCTATCAAATACAGTAGTCGACACAAAAAATCAGACTGCACATTAACGATGAAAAGGCGAAATACATATTGGCATCATATGCTATAAGCACATATATAGGCAGTCCAGCAATAAAGTTGATAATGCGCGGGATAGTATTGGTGCTATCTTCAATTACCTTAGATTAATTGTAACAACTGATAAAAACATGGATTAAGATATATGCGAATGGCTATTTAAATTTGACAGTCTACTTCAGTCTGTCAAGCCATTCTAAGTACAGAAAGGTACGTCCAACTTCAGAATATTTGTAATATTATAGAATATTATCAGTTAAGAATTTATCTCTTAAACAATGTTTAATTTTATTGAATGAAAAAGTGCTTAAATAAAAATTTTTTTCTTAAAAACGGATTATAATATAATTAGTATATATTACTCACTTTGTATGTTTTTAAAACAATGCAATCAAAATCATTTCCACAACTATAACACTTAACGTTTTAAGTTAACATTTTGAAGTGTACTTGAGAGATATTGAAAAGTGATGTATCCAAAATCTTTGCAGAAGCTATCACACATATTAAGTTATTGCAGTTGTATCTCTTGTTGCACATACCTACAACATGAGTGTACAATCTTAAGATATTTTGATTTCAGTGATATGTGTATATTCAATTGATTTTAATCCTACTCCATTAGAAATATAATGAACCTTTAATATTACAGTCCCAATCTATGCTTCCAATATTTATGTACAATTGAGTGAAGGCTGTTATATTCCAATTGCTCATTCATAGTATAAAACACCTTTTCAAAATTTACCTAATACCGAAGAAATACCGCAGACAGGTTGGTTAGAGAAAACATTGGAGTTTAATGCGATTAATTCAAACAAGGCAATATCTTCATTCTCTTATTTAGTGATAAAAAGAAAACATTAGTTTATAGATTAATCAAAATGCAATTTATTGAAAATTATTAATATAACTTAGAAATAATTTATTATTTTCAAATATCAGTCTTAAGGTTTGGTTTCCAACCTCGATTTAATCAAAATGTATAAAATATAGCATACATTCAACATAGAAAATACAAAAAGCTTCTAATCGGTTATGACTTCTTCTTTCCCCAGGGAACTTCTCATATGGGGCGTTCGGAATATTTCGGAATTTAAGGAACTGTATTCAAATAAAACAAACAAACAAATGTTTCAGTGCTATTTCTACTATTTTTAATTTTATATTTAAGGTAAAAGCCATATTTAACTGAAGTCTTTATGGAATACTGAATACGGACTTTATAATAAGAAGTAATAAGAATTCCAAATCATGTAATTATAAAATAGATATTTTTGAAAATCTTTTTGCGTATTCATCCAATTCATTATCAAGTTCTTTACGTAGTTGATTAGATTCAGTACTATTAGCCTTTGAGTTTCCATTCTGCTTGCGAATATTCGCATTCTTATTGCACCTGCGTACATTCGCATTCATAAATCGCCTGCGTACATTCGCGTTCACATTCTGTATGCGTTTATTTCTTTGCCTGCTGTAAAAACACGCCGAACAGGTATGGCGCTTATCTGGTAATAGGTGAATGTGTATTTTACGGTTATCCAACTTCACATTATTAAAACGCTTGATCGCAGCATTAGCATCCCGTCTGCTCTTGTAAATTAATTCTGCCATACCTGTTATAGAAAAAAAAACATTCATTAAATATTCTTTTATGCAGATTCTTCTACTACCTAGAGATGAACCATAACAATTGTAGTACACAGTAACATAGTCGATGGGACCTATCTCGCTAAATAGAGACTTAAGATCACTTTCATTCACTAGGTATGACAGATTGGTGATACCAATACGAGTTGGAATAGCCATATACGAATTAACACGCTGAAAATTTTACATAGTTATTTTATTTCCATTAAGATTTTTAATTACCAACATAAATAACTGAATAACAGAAAATTGAAGTTTAATATTAAAATATAAAAAAATAATACAGATCTTACCCTTACTACTTGTCTTAAACGCCACTGGTGTCTGCTTAAGCGAGCCAATCTTTTACCCGGACCGCCGCGGACATCCCGACCAATCAAACCACCAGTTTTATTTTGTTTACGAGCCGCTATAATGTCGTCTAGCGACATGTGCAGAACATCCATTTGCAAAGGTTCGGAATCATTTTCAATATCTGTTCCTCCTCTCTTACGTTTAACCTTTTTCAAATCTAGTATTGGACCCATGCCGACAGACTAAACTTTTTGAATAAGAAATAAAATTATTGTCATGTATTAGTTTTCTTTTTTCCTGTGATAATTTGTGTAAATAAATTATACTGGAATATTTTACGTGCTTGGACTGAAAGAGATATATATTCATATTCATAAATATGAACAATTAAGAGTACCAGACAGTTTTGCAATCAGAGTAGTCTTGCAATATCACAAGCAAATAATGCAATGTCCATACACGGCATATGGCTTTTGTTGACCAAATTTGACCCACAAAATGACGGTTAATTTAACTAAATTTTTATGAATAACAATCCTGCAAACATATTTTTAAATATATTTAAATTATACAATTATTAATGTGTACTATTTTGTCTATTCTTTACTTTAACTAATTAATTTATAAATTTTTTGTAGTTAAATTGTCCATACCTCTACGTTCTTTCTTTGATATATTAAAGCAATTGAAGTGGCTGGCACTGAGGGAAAGTCGTGGGTTGAAGACTTTGGTTACAGATATTAGTAAATAATAAATAAAACTACTCCTTCCGTCATTAGTTTATACTAATTGCTGATAAAAAAAATCGCCTATTTCTCGACTTCGGTATAGATTTATTTTTCCGATTGCCAATTTTTATAATACTGAAATGTGAAAAAATAACTGTCAAATGAAATCGTTTTGATGTGTTTCAGGGCTGAAAAATTAAATACTCGTAGTTTTCGATTAACTTTTTTTTACAAAATTTCATATATTTTGACCTCATATGTCAAATATATTTTTTATTACATACTATTGTTACTACTATATATTATTAACCAAACTCTTTTGTTAGAACTTCGTCGTCTCTCGCAAACTTCTTCCGACAATCAAACTCGCTTTCCTGTTCTAAACGTCATCAAAAAATTTGTCAAGGTTGCATTTCTTCTATGGAATAAATTTTATAAATTACCGTCATTTCTTATTTCAGAGTTGTAAAAAAATAATACTAACTCTGGTTGGAACAAATTTGCATCATCATTAAAATATATTGAATTCCTATTATTAGAAGGACAATGGTAACCATTATTGTCTTATATATTTAAATTAATTTATTTATTTATTTATTTAAATTTATTAGTAAATAAAATGCTCATATGATCTAAACGGATAACTGGAATTTTGCAACATATTCCCAGTGAACATTCACAATAGAGTGGTTTTTGAATTTGGCACAATTTTTGGGAGTAAAACCTTACTCTAAAGATTTTAAGAGCATTGTTTTTACTATACATGTTTTCTTTCGTAAGTTGCGTACATTTTTTGCTATTCTGAATAAAAAAATTACGACTATTCTATTAAATATCTATATTTATTATAATATGAGACGTTTTCGGTGGCTCACAAGTATGTACACAAAACAACAACACTATTTTCTCTATCTAGGCCAGTAGTTGTTTACTGACCAAATACATCGGCCTATAAAGAAAAATGTGTTACAAACGCAATAAGGGATCTATTTTGAACCTTCATTGGAAACTCCAACGAATATTGCAATCATATGTCAAAAATCATATGTGATCAAATATTCAAACAAAATTCAAAAATTTCATAAATTTGAAAATTGGAAAAAAGGAAAAATTTCAATGTTTTATTTTGAACTTTTCAATATTCTTACCATTTCCTTTAATTCTGTATTCAATTTAATTTTCAATCTATGTTAATTATTAATTTTTATACAAAATGTAACAAGATTGCATTATGCTATTTTTGCTATTTGTCAAAACTTAACACTTGATTGAAACAGTGATGCCAATATCTCGCTTAGCGAATATAGGTCAGCATGCATTTTTTTCCACACTTGCGAGCCACCGAAAACGCCTATTATGTGTTTTAAGAGATATGGGTATGAGAGAAATTTTTGCTTTAAACATCTTTTGATAATTTTTTTTCATTCTCTCCCGCAGTTAAGTTTTTTTTTTGCAAATCAACCTATAGAAAAAAAAAATATTTAGGTATTTAGTAAAAGAGCTCTTTCAAAACAGAAGCAGGGAAGTATAAAAAAATTTTAAAGGCAAAAAAGTTAATCTTTTTAGTTGTTCTAAATTTACCAAACACTAAAAAAATCCTTAAATTAAATTTATTAAATTTGATTAATAAATAAATTTGAAATTTAAAATTAAAAATAAAAATATAATTAATTAATTCAATTGTTCTATAGCTGGTTTATGGTTTCGTTGTAATATAAATACAGCAAGTGAATTTGTTAATAAAACTTACACAGCAAATATACAAAAGCCCCAAAAAAATGTGTGAGCATAAAAGTCAAGTATGGCTTTGGGTCACTTGCTTAAGGTGCGTTGACTCTGAGCTTCAAATTTGGCAGGGCAGGAGTTCGATTCTTGCTACTTGCAATCGAATAGAGTTATTTACGAATAATTACATACAAGAATTATGTCCAAGACCACTGCTCAATTAATTAAAATATTATAAATTGAATTTTTGTTGTTGTAGTTCACTACTTTTCAAAAAACCTTTTTTAATAAATTTAAATTAAAATTTAATAATTATTAACATTTAGCTAGTTACTACTAGGATATGTCTGGTAGAAAAACGTATTAGAGATTTGAGAAAACCAAAAAATTGAATTAAGGACGTGTGCGTGTTAGAGTAAATTGATAGTAAACTGAGGGAAATAGTAATTTATGTCGGTATGGAAGTGAATGGTGGTATTTACCAGAATTTCGAGTAGGGTAAATTAGCTAAAAATTAAGTAAATTAGGTAGTACCATTATAAAAAGTTTATAAGATATTTAATAAATAAATAAATAAATTTGAAAACTTTTAACCAAAAATTGTAAATAAATGCAATAAATAAATAAATAAATATTTACAAAAATATTTTTTTGTAGTGCAAAAAATCCCTAGGAGATTTCAATTTACTTAACCACAATTTACTTGAATTCGCACACGGTCTTCATGGCGCACACTTTCACTTAAACATGACTTAAGTCAGTATTATAACGATTAATATTATGACTATGAAATCTACCCCTACCGCCTATACCTCGTGGTAACTAATACCTTTGTAATTAAATTAACTTATAATTAAATAATAAACCAAATTAATTAAATTAAATTAAACAAATTAAATTATTTTATTGACTTAATTTCTGACTCTATTTAAATTGAGTGTAAAAAAGATTTTTCCTTGCAAACAATTTAATACTTAAAGTAAGAAGCCAAAAATTTTATAAGTATGAAAATAGCGTTGGAAATCCTTCAACTAAATTACAACACATTATCGACATTTGTCACCTTCATGGAACTTTTGCACCCGAAAAACCCACTCAAGCGTTTTTCATCCAAAATAAATGTGCAAATAAATCAATGCGTTTCAATAATGTGCGAAATCGACAACAACAACTACAACAACAACTACAACAACTACAAAAACAACAATAACAACAATTACAATAATAATAGTAACAACATATGCAACAACAAAACCAACAACATAAGGCAGGAACCAATACGAGAACGACAATGCATAATATCAACAATAGTAGCAGGAGCTGTACTCGCAGCGCAGCGCAGCGGTGGCAAATGGCAGGAACTTCTGTTAACGGTGTAGAATGAAGTGGTGCGAGACATCACGTCTGAAGGAAGGAAAATGTTTATTCTTTTTCCATTGTACGAAATCAAATTGACACGATTTCCTTAACGTATAAAAATCACCAGGAAAATGCTTACCATGAAATGGGTTTAAAAATGCATGAAAAGGTATTGAACATAATGTGTCGAACTCAAGGATTACACACTTAAACACTGTTTAAAGGAAATTTTTATTTTTGTTTTCTTGTAAATCCGAGTATGTTTATTGTGAATATATATATATATATATTTATTAATATATGTGTTTATATATATATACATGTTTTTTTTGTTATTATGGATAACAATGTTGGTGGCAGAAAAAATTGGCATTAAAATCTGTGACAAAGGCGAAAATATTACAAAAATGTAACAAATTTATTTTCATATACTGCTCCAATGATGAGCACTACTCCAGTTTAGGGTCGCACTTAGATAAAAAATGGAGCGGGGTTGCTATAATTATAATAAGGCTTTAGTTAAAGTGTAACTAAAGGATAGTAATAAATTAAATTTTTAATAATAAAATATATTATTCGGACACACCAACTGATGTACCTAAAAAGAAGCGTCGTAAGTACAGTAACATGTTAACTGGTGATAACTGTGTACCACCAAAACAGCGTCGACAGAGGACCAGTGGTAGTTCTGAAAAAAATGGTGTATCAACGAAAACGCGTCGTAAGTGCACTAGTACTTATAATTGTCCGGACTTCGAGTATTATTAGTATAAAGAAGACTTGAAAAAAAGTTTTGTGTACGCACAAATGTACAATTTTTTTTTTATTTTTAGTTTCTACATATAATTTTTGAAGAAGTCGACCTTCTTCAGACTAGCAACTATAGTAAATACTACACGGCATGTTTTTTGCAGCAAATTTTCTGATCACTTTTAAATTTACAAAATATTATCAGTGCCTCTACCCAATAAAAGTATACGAATGAAATAATCACACAAAATATAGATGAATATATACACTCTGTTTGATCAAGTCCTGGAGTTATGTATAGTGAAGTATCATTGAATTATATATTATAGATGTCCAAAGTGAGCATAAAAATGTTTATAATGTATAAAACATTTTTTCGTCTTCTGACTCATGACAATTGGAAACATAAGCAAGAACTTAATTGCTAATTTTTTTATGATTTATACAATTGAAATCAAGTTAAAGAAGAAACTTCATTTCACCTTACAAAACCTAAGATCCACAGAGTATTCTATTTTACACAATAGCAATAACAATATATATTATTTTATCTAAGAATCTCTTTAAAGGGTGAATAGTTTCAGGCTTGAATAATTATGTACTCAGTTGGACATCTATCTTTGTTGGACTTATTTAACAAATAGTCATATGACGAGTTGCAACGTCTATTTCACGCTGTTTTTAGCTACTAAGGTTATGTAGATGAATCTCAATTAAGACCTCAGTTAAGACCTTTTGATAATTCTTAAATGATTAAATGATGTGTTTTATGTGGATATGTTCATATATAGTATATAGTAATCTACTAATAATTAGCATTAACTCTGTCATATATTAGTAAGCAACTCTGTTTAGATAGTTGTCACGAAGTTCAGAAAGTCTCATAACCATAACCGAAGTTTGATCGAATTTTATTCTACTTTCAATAGCAAAATTTTTGTTGACACTCAAAACAAAAGCATTTTCTCTTTATAATACCTGTCTCTATAACATGATCCATATTAAACAGTAAACAGTTTTGTTTTATATTCGATCATTTCAATGTTCTTTTAGCTTTTGACGCTGTCTCATTTTAAGAAAAGAAGAATATATCAGAAATAATACTTCAAGACATCTACAATAGATGTTGAGGACATTTTTGAAGTCATAAATAAATTGTTTAATAATTTTGTAAATAACTTTCGTCTGGATGATAATGTATATAACTGATCCAAACAACAATGATGTATATGAATTTATTATATATTAATACACTACACATGCTACTTATATATACATATACAGTAGCATTGCTAACATAGTTGCATCGGTAATACTAGTTACAGCTGAGATCAATCTATTCTTCAATCGGTTACCTTCATAAATAATCTTAAATATAATAAACAATAAACTGTGGTCCCCTGCAAGCCACAATGTATCTTAAGCTTCAAAAATATAATAAACAATTTGTTCATTATAAAATTATTGTAAATTGAATCTTCAGTATTTAGAAATGGATGATTTAATGAAGTTGCATGTTCCATAAACCTCAATCAAGTAAGTAAGAATTCTATTATTTTTTTTTTGTGGTGAGTGAAAAGCATCGAAAGCCACATGGTGAGACTTGAACCCACTAAAACTGCCTCTTCGGAATGAATGGACATTCACAGTAGTCACATTTTTGAATTTGGCTACACTAAAACTTAATATGAAAAAATTTTTGAGAGTAAAATCTAACTTTTTATTCATTGAATTTATAATACATTTTTAATATATATTTATATATAAATGATTTAATATATGAATTATATATTTAATTTTTTGTGAGTTCTATTATTGAATGAAATTTATTTAAGCAAAAAGAAGCTCTCTTAAAACTTTCTAGGAACTTTCTGACACAAAAGCTCTTTTACATGCAATAACTAACTTATGTCAATAAAAACACCAAAATCTTGAAGTTGCTTAAGTAACTTACTAACTAAACAGTGGAAACGTAGTGTAAGTCTTTGTATCTTGTACAAGATTCACACTAGAGTTCGATTTGTAATTTTAGCAGTCAGAAATATTAAACTGACATCTGAAATCAAAAAGCAAAAATATCGATTCAACCGACGAATCATTGTAATTTGATTGTCATATTTATCATATGTCCTCAGTTTTTGATTACTTTTTAAGGAATTTTACAATTTATGTTTAACAAGAATAAAAATAAAGATTTTGTTATAATTTAGAAATAATTTTACTAAACAAATTTGAATTTTCAACTCATCGTCAAACAGCTGCATTAATAATTTTGGAGTTTTTATTCCACCAAAAGAAAAAATCCCTATTTTAATGGTTGCTTGGTCACGCGCTCTGAACTACTTCCTGTAAATTCTATCATTTTCGTATCTGTGCCTTTTTGTTCGGAAAGGCAACATATAAACTAACTTATATAAATTGTGAATATTTGTTATAGAAAAATATTTACTTCACAGGTGACACATTTATTTTTATTTACTAAAGATTAATTAAATAAATAAATAAAAACCAAACCAATATTTTTGAATTTTAATAAAAATTTTGGACGAAAAGAAAACGTGAAAAAAGTTGGCTTTGGCTTTATAAATAAATATTAATATTATTCCATACCATTACCAGATATTTCTCATATAAAAATATGTGTTAATATAGAAGCCATTATACATTCAAATCCGACACTAAAGATGCTTCAAACATATTGATATGAGGTTACTTACTCAATAGTCTTATTTCTTTATTCTCATTGTGATTTTTCAGTATATATAGATATACTGGATTTACACAAACATAAAAAATTTGTGGTGATTTTAAAGCAAAAATGTCCAATGGGGGTCTAGACTAACTACCACTAAGGTAAAGGAATTGCTTAAAGCATGTTAGGTCACTGTTTTTGATATCGCCTCTACTGGTTCTCAAATGTACTGGCCAAGTGATACAAATAAATTCCCAAATGTTAAGTAATGTGAAAATAATGTAAAGTAATGTGAGAATAGACTTGACATTAAATAGACAAAAATGTACTGACAATGTAGGAGGAAATAGGTTGGATAATAGGTAGTCGTGATAAAAAATATATAGCTGAGTCACATCACGATTCATAGGTAGTTTTAGGAAGGGTAGACTCAAACCGTCAGACAAGACAGAAATTTGTTTAGGAAGGATAGGGAACAATCTACATAGGTGTATATTTAGTGGCACGATTTTTTTTTAGATTGAAGTCAGCTGTGATATGTTAACTAGTTCCCAAGAACCCATTCAAAACTGGAGAGCATACCGAGCCTGCACCATGCAATGCTATGCATCTAGGACCACACCAACAACATCAATACTTACACAACATAGTTTTATGAACAGCTAAATAGTTGCATCAACGTTCATGGCAATAAAGACGATATTATCGTGTTTCTTAGAGATATGAATGCAAAGATTGGATGTGATAATAAAAATATAGAACGGCGCATGGGCTCCCCAAGTGCAAGAAATAACAACTGCGGAAGATTCTTGAAGCTATGGTGCGAAAAAGATCTTGTCATTGGAAAGACGGTAGAACTGAAAATGAAATCCACCACATAACAATAAACAACAAATGAATAACTTCCTCCATGATGTCGGGTCAGAAAGAGGCGTTGATATGGGTACCGATCATTACGACTTAGTTGGCTGCTTTAGAATAAAAATCAACATACTGAAGCGAAGTTCAAATGCAATGCAGAGAAAAGTCGACATTAAAAACCCCAAACATGTAAACCACGCGAACAGATTTCTTAATGATGTGTGAAACAGATTCGCATTACTAGACTTCGATCTTAACCCAAAACACAATTTACCAGAAAGTTGAAACGATCAGCAAAATTTACCAAGATGCTGGAAGCTGCATACTTGGTTACAAAAGTACAGCAAAAAAGAGTGGTTCACTGAGAATACTTGGTTATTTATAGAAAGTCACAAAAGGCTTAAAAAATGCGAGATCTACGAAAAAATCGATACAGCATTCGACCAAACTGTGCCTGTATTGCTTTAATTAACACTATCCGTATTATTTTCGAACAATGTAACGATTTTAGTACGTCAGAGTATGCTGTGTTCATTGACTTTAGGAAGGCTTTTTATATCTTGAACAGAAAGTTCCTTTGGAATACTTTCACAAGGCGGGGTGTTTTTGTTAAACTTTTAAACATCATCAAAGCAATGTACAATGTATTTAATTATAGCCTTAGCTATATTGGAATGTTATTCTAATCCTTTGGTGTCCGAGTGTGAAGCAAGGTTGCATGGTGTCCCCAATACTCTTTATATTGGCATTGGACAACAGCATGTATTCTACGCGAAGCGAAAGCACCAGAATACAATGGACACTCTTTAGCAAACTTGACTTCGTTAAGTTTGCAGACGATGTCTGTCTCCTAAGCCATAAAAGTTCGGAGCTACAGAACAAAATTGAAGTACTGATTTCCTGTGCATCCCATGTCGGCCTGTATATAAGCCATAAAAATCAAATGTAATGTGCAGCGGCTACACTATCCCGGGTCCTATATCAATCAGAATTCGTATTGATGCAGTTAACATGTAAACCATCACCGATAAAAGTGGTGCTGAAGAAGACATTTCGACAAGACTGAGTAAAGCCAAGTCAGCATTTGGGGAGTTAACAATATGTGGAAGTCTGAATAAGTACCCGTACTAAGCTTCGAATATTTTACTCGAAAGTAAAATCAAAGTTGTTGTAAATCATGTTTGTTTACATATTTTTCACACAAGTAATATTATATATAAGTAATATGATATATTTGAAACCCATATGGTATGATATGCATTATAAGCAATGAAACCATAGTTATATTAGAAATAACGTTTTTGTCTGACATATTATAAACACATTATTATTTTTGTCTGACATTTCAGTACTTAAACATTTCTAGACCTTTATTGTAAAGCAATTTAAAATCACCATCAAAAAGGACCTTAGCCTTCCACTGATCACTCAATTATTCGAGTCAAATTGCTGTTTCAAAATCGTGCTTTCGAGACTTGCCAACAAGTACTACGTACAGTAGCTAAACTTGTAAAATGTATCAGGTTAGGTAGGAATATTAGGTAGAACTCATATCATTTGGCCAATGTTTTCAACGATTGATAACACGGTGCTTACATATGTTTTCTTGATATCCGATAGCTACTCACATGCTAAAAAAACTGATAAAAATCGTTCTGCACCCAATACTGAAGAATATTGCCAACATCCATCAAAAGAGTAAAAAAGAATTTATGATCCAGCACCACGTAAAAGAATTATGATAAATACTAAAGATCAGTGGTTATGAATTAAGTTCACAACCTTATCTATATAATGTAGAAGAGTTCACTAAATTTACAAATTTAATTAAGCATGCTTTAGTTAAAACCCAAAAATCAGGTCACGAGATTAGAGAAAATAAGTAAGCCAATTTATTTTTTTACAAAAATTTTTTATTTAAACACAAATGTCAGTTAAAATTATTTTAAATTTAGGTATCAAGAGAAAATTATTAGGCTCATAAGCGTGAATCTAATAGAGCAGCTTATCAAATATTACAGTAAAACTTGTAACAACAATAAATTATTTTCCGGAAAATATAATGGCTCCCGGGAAAAATCGTAAGCGCTGTGCTGACTCAGATGGGTATACGTACGTCCCTAAGAAGAAAAGAAAAGTGTCTCCAAATTGTAAGTTGACTTAATTTTATTAGATATCAACATCATTAAAGATAGCTTCATTAGTTGAAGAGGAAAGTATTCGTATTTCGGCCCCTCAGCGAGAACCTGAGAGATATGCATCGTCAAATGATTTTCATAATTTATTTAATGAGGGAAAAGTTGCACCAAAATGTAAGTGGAACTCAATTTATCACTAAAATCATATACTACAGATATCACAATATTATCCTTCACAGGCAACACACTGCTTTCGGTTAGTTATGCACAAACACAAATAATAAGTTCTTATGAAGCAAATGCAGATCACTCTTCCTGCGAATCTCATTCAATATCATATGAGAGAAAACTTCCTGCTGCTCTGAATGAAGTTCTCATTGCTTATAAAATTCATGAAATAATTAATAATTTGTCGAAATTTAAAAAAAGTGCTTCAAGTGTTAACTATAGCAATAACTCGAAGGTTGTTGCTTCACCCCAAAGCCTTCATAGTCAAAGTAATCCAGAAGGTAAGTTGATATATTAATCTAATCATTTATGCTTTAAGATAATGAATACCATATATTACTGGTTCAGTGTATGAATGGGATTTTCATAAAGTAGTTGCTCCGCCAATTGGCATAAATGAAGACCTTGCAGAGAAAAAATTATTTGAAGTTATACTGGATTTAATAAAGCTTAAAATGCGTTCTGGAGTCACCGATTTGGAGGCAGATGGTGTGAAACATATACTTCATCATATTGTTGATGAGTATGCAAATGCAAATGAATCAGATGGCACCATTGACGATAATATGGATGACAAACCCGGATGCTCTCGATGGTTCCATCCTAAATAGTTTGTGTTTGTGTAAAGATATTTTTCATCACTTGAACATTAGAGAGACATCAATCTATATCAGTATTAAAAAGAAATATGTGTGACTCACCTCCGATCTAGTTTCTTACAAAGTTCAAGTGACATTTATTTATATATAAATTCAAAAAATGCTAGTATTCATTTTCGAATATTAATCTTTTATTAAGAATCACCAAATTATTTGTATTTGATAGGTTAAGCATTAAGTAATATTGAGCTTATGCTTCACCTTTGACATTCAATTAACTTTGATGATGACATTTTCGCTCTTAACGCTTTTAATTCCAGTTGGAAACTACTGAATAAATATGTATGAATGAGTAACAAAAGTTACCATAACTAAAATTATTATATATTAAATTCATTTTTTAATATTTGCATGAAGACTCCATATAGTAGTAATAATAGATTAATATTTAATAATTCAACTTTTATTCAAATACCTAATATTATTAGAGAGACTTTCTGTGAATTCAAAATCGTGGTTCAAGCGTTTTCAAAAACGCTTTGCAAATCTCAGTAGCTCTAAAATTCTTCATCAAGGATTCACTTAAATTCCAGCAAAACATCCATTGCGTGTTTTGTCTGATTTAATTCACTGGTACACTCACTGGAGGATTGAAATAGAATTGTTCCACAATTTCATGACATCGAAAAGTTAATGACTTTAAGAAGTTGGGATCGTAACTGCAATTAGTGTGAAATTAAAGGATGACTGCATGTTATATGATAAATATTTTTATTTTTTGCTTTTAAAAATAAATTAATTTCATTTATAAATTAAAAATATTTTAAATAAATGAAATATTACTTGTTCCTGATATTTCTTAATTAATAATATCAAATGTTTAACTAAATCTGTATTGACTGTCATAATCCTTTTAATCGAATGTCGATGTTACTGAATTTGTTCGAAAATCAAAAATAATTTAAAAATAGTTTTTAGTGGTTTAAACGCTCGATTTATAGAAGAAAAAATAGTGAAATCAGCTTGTCCTAACAAACCAATTAAACATATTTTTTTTTTTACTATCCGACATCTAATTTACTCAGTTGTGAGGAACAATTCTTTAATACATGTTTGATTAAATTTAGTAAATAATATAAGTAAATGCTAGCATGATTCTTATTAGCATCAATCAAAGTTAGCTCATTGCTTCAATTTAGCATTCTTGAATAATTACCGCCACCATCTGGATTATGAATAAGTAGGGCGTATATCAGATGAGTACGATTGAGTTTTTGTCACCTTAAATTAGCTGGTATTGAATGATATGACGCGCTTGGAAACAAGTTGAAGAAGTGTCAATTCTAACTATCAAATAATTACATTCTGTTTCAATAATCGTTTCGTAAAAGATTCTATATCCTTCAACTATAAACAAGTTCTTCAATAAAGATAAATATACAAATTGATATTAATATAGATAATTTGAAACAGAGGACTACGTTAACATCTTGACTCATACGTTGAGGTAAATATAAAACTCCTTACTTTTAATATTTTTATACATTATCTGCGGGCTTGCCAGAATCTTTAAATGTAGAAACTATACTACATATAACCTCTAACTACTGCTATAACTGACTATGGTCACTTCAATACTCACCGTTTGCTCCACAAATAGTGCTGTGATGTTTTTACAGCATTTGATAAAAAACTTCTACGAAAAATTGGCGATCGGTAACAGTTATATGCAATATCTTTAGAAGTAGATGAATTAGAGTTTAACACATTCTTGTATGTGCAAAGAGAGGCTTGTTAAAAAACCTATTATAGTAGATTCTATGATAGAGTTAGAACTTGTGTTTGGTAAAAATTATGACAAAAAATGGGTTTTGATAAAATTAGAAAATTATTTATATTAGCTCTGAATCGGATAGTACTTATAATGAGCATTGTAATGATCATTACTAAAAGTGATTGTGTCCTATGTACTCTGCTCGTTAAATTTAAAATGGGTTGATCTGTCGTAAACATCGTTTTTAATTTCTTGGGTTTTTAAAGATAATCACGATATTTTATTTATCGTAGACTTTACTTTTGTGAGTGTTTTAATGACAACTTGACATAATTCCTAAATATAATATAAGTATTGCTATTCAATATTATATTAAACATTACAAACTAATGTTTGTAATGTTTAGGGATTTTTCTTTATTATTTTGGTTCTTAAAGTTTTCCGCATTGTTCCGACATAAAATATCGATGTCGTAATTGTGAATTATTAAAACTTATATATAGTTCTCATACAATTAGTTAAATATTCCAATAGAAGTATTAAGTGATCAATAACTTGATGTGCAGTAATTTATAAAGTGGTTCCTTAAAACTTTATAAAAAAAATATTTCAGGCTTCTTCTTCTAGGTCAGGTATAATTGATCTTAGTTAGTTGAGGTGAAGGGAGGAGTCCTTCTCAATTAGCCAAAAAGCCGTTTTGAGGTCACAAAAACCTCGTAATAGTGGGTAATAGGTAGAAGGTCAAACTAGAACCACCCAAAGGCATTAAGAAAGGCAAATAATTGGACTTAAATTATCTATATCTGCTAATCAATCTCTAAGAATAATTTCGCTAAGAGTTTTGGTTATATGTATAGGTATTAGACTCCTTCATTACTTACACCAACATTAAACTATACAAGCTCTTTAAAAGCACACTAAAGGTGTAAAACCTCACAATCAATTTTTGTTTCAAATCACCATGTTCCATAAAATTCCGCAATATATTTAGAAGTGGAGTCTTTGCCATTTTTAACGATAGGACAATCTGTTCGCACACACCTATAAAAATATGTGCAACTGATAAAAAACTGCAGATGCACTTTTGCATAAAACATTTGTTAGTTCGGTTAAGATGAGGCACGTTCACGTTTCGCACATATGCACGGTAAGCCAGCAAAATTTATGTCGCATGCATTTTAAATTGTTCAAAACGGTGCCCTATAAACAAATATACAAATATGCTTATATCTAAGCGTATATATACGGATGTGTATATGAATACGTGCTGTATATAGACATTACTTTGAAGTGAAAAAAATATCCTTTCATGTTTCGTGTCCTTTTTCAAAAGCAATTGGCACTTGAGAGAACAAAAACTTAATTTAAATTGAGGATGGCAGTGCTTATTGGTATTGTTGTTATGAGGAGGTGGGAAAGAGATTTATTTTATATGGTGAAAAAAGCTGAGATAAAAAACCTTACTTACACATATAAATTATAAGTTTTTCTTATACTAAATGACACTTTTGGTGTAACAAAAACTGTTAACAAATGTAAAATTTTGTGATAATATATTGACATAACGTTCATGTCCATTAATAAATAAAAATAGATTCTTAATACATCAATCAAAACACCATCTGTCATGACTAATGAAACAATCATTGGTCAAAAAAGTAGCCGCCTTTAAGAGCGATTAATTCATTTCAACACTTCTTTAATATTTTGGCGACTCTTTTGCAAAACGATTTATGTTTAACTTTGAAAAAGGCTTCAGTCTCGGTAATTTCTACTTTACTGAAGCTAAAACTTTTTCTAAAGCTATAGCTTTATATCAACACTTCTCGTACATTTTGATGCCTCATTTGTACAATGATTTGTATTTAACATTAGAAGAGGTCTTAATTGAGGCTTTTGCTTCTTCACTAAAGCTTTACAATACTGCCCTATAGTAATGTTGACTGACATCAACTTTATATGGGTCCCTGGACAAAAAAATAATGTAGGACACGAGAAAGCTAACAATTTAGCCCGCCCTGATGCTTGCCAGGATGCGTCCCTAGTGATACCTGTTTATGTTAACTTAGAGACCATTAAGATATGTACTTACTTCTACTTTCTTCAACAAGCCAGTAAGAAACGGAAGGCACTTCAGTCATGTACAACTTCCCGATTAACATGGAACATCTGTTTTTAATGTAAGTTATAATTTAACGTCAGTTCTGACGGAAGTTACTACTGTATTTAATAGAAACTACGATATTAGGAGAGAGGTTTACAAAAGTATTGAACTATAAAAACAAAAATTTTTTTCATATTATTTTAATTAATTGAATTTTTGGCTGACAATACAGCTGTTTCGAGTATTCCCAAATACTCGTCATCAGTGTTTTTGGAATTTTATCTTGTATTTAATTATTCGTAAATAATTTTTTGAGACTGTAAGTAGTAACGGTTGAACTCGTACCAGGCTTCGATGTCAGCCTGGAGATCAGATGACTTAGAATATTTATTGCCAATAGGTACAGAAGCATCAATGCTATCACAGGATGATGAAGTTGCACTAAGAGAAAATTGTTTGCAGCACCTTTGATTCTTAACGCTTTGGCAACGACAACTACATAGGTTCATAGGTTGAACACTAACCAAACTTAATGTACTATTCAGAATGGTGCGAGTACACAACAGACGTCTCTTAAAAGGAGTGCTCTGACAGGTAGAAACCCGGGGGCAGGTTATATTGTTCGCTGAATAAGTAAGTAACTAACAATATGTAGCTTTCATTGCAGATCGCTTTATTTATTTGCTTGATACTTTATTCTCACGATACTTTTTTATTAATTGACATTTCGTCTTATTGTTGATTTTAATAACAAATTACGAGCATATTAAGAATAATACAAGGTGATTAAATATATTTAGTCAAAATCTGTAACATTTCTAAAAGAAAGGCTTATATATTGGGTTCAAAATTTGCGAAGGGTAAGATGCGTCAAGGACTTAGCAATAAAATATATACAAAACAATAAATATTTAAAGATTTATTCATGATATGTTATTTATTTTATAATAAACAAGAATAATTAAAAAAACCTAAAACAATAAATTCTAGAACAATGCGGTCAATTGAAGAACACTGTCGTTACTTGGAGTTGAGATACGAGTATAGAGAACATGACTTTTCAGATACTCACAATTTATTCATTTTTTACTTAAAGTATTTAAAATATTTTATAAATTAATAAATTTTATGAATTTTAGCGATACTTATAAAACCCTATAGCGTATCATTTGCAATTATTTTTTTTTATTTATTTTAGCCGTAATTTGAAGACTAAGTCGCAACAAAACATCAAAATAGTTAATTTCCAATTAGCTTGCTAATTGTGTTAA